AACAGCAGGTAAATTAAAGTTCAGCTGGGATTGGATTAGTATCTACTTACGGACGGTTAGCCATGCATGCCACTGCAAGCTCATCTAATTTGCAGAAGACAAGACAAAGAAAAGCAGAGAGAGAGAGAGGGTACTTGCAAAGATGGAAGCCAAGATAGTGAGGAGGAGGAGGAACAGCGGCAGCGCCATGTGGAAGCCGGACAGGGGAGAAGCTGATGCTCCTGCACCTTGCGCTGCCATTGATCTCTGTCTCTTCCTTATTCCTGTCTTCCAGTTCCAGAACGATGGCTATACCAATCGCACCTCTGATGACTAGCCTGAATGAACTCTAGTTAGCTGCTGCTCCGTCTTGCATGCAGTGCTTGCTCAGTAACCACCGCGCGTTAGCTCCTGAAGGACTCCATGCCTCCAAACTGATGTATATATGGTTTTTGCGCTGCTAGTCAGCGTCTGCCCAACTTCGGTTAAGGACGACTCACTGACTTCAGGCAACATCCCTATAACTGTCCGGTAGGAGGCCTCGCACTTGCACTTGCACTTTGCCTGGTTGTTCTCAAGTCAAATTTCAGAGGTACCACAAAGAGAATGACTTCACGCTCGAGTTTCGACCAAACACGACTCCCCTGTAAGCTGCTGCACGGGCACCAAACAAATTTCAAACAGATCGATCGAGGTCGTCTCGTACTTGCACCACTCATATATGCAGCTTGCTTGCTTGACCAGTATTTGTTGAAATTTGAAGTTTTTATATACAAATCTCGGATGGAAGCAGCAAGTCAGGAATTCACATCACTTTGAAATAAGTTTGGACTTGATCGTCTATTTCTTACTCTGCATCTCAAATGAAGTTCTGAAGTCACTGCTCTGCTGACTGCTGGTACCTTCCAAATTGGGGCCTACATGACATGCATTTCCGTCGGACGATGTGCAAGTCTGGTGCAGGAAAGAAGGATAACTTGGCGTTTGTGCAAATGGTCCTCTGGAACTACATCTCTACTACGTCGTACTGCATGCCTTTAATTTGCCATTCTCCCCCACCTAACCACCGCTGAAGACATGTTCGGTGCACCAAATGCATGCGTGGCCACCCTCTGCATGCGTACAATACTACACCAATATATAGTTTGGAGCTACATATACATAGCACAATACTACACTAGGTAAAATTGTCACTTCCGACTTCCTCAATAACACCCCCTTTGAACTGGTAATTTAATTTAACCAGAAAATCATTGCAAGAAGGCCGACTGGGTATTATGGCTTAATTGTTTTCCTATAATGAAAATGAGTTTTGGAGATTGGTCAGTGTCATTTGAAAGGACTTGGGATTTTCTTGGAGTATCGAGAGACTCCATTTTCCTCATTTTCTTTCTTTTCACCAATCGATACCATGCATGGTATATAAATAGTCTAAACTAACTTGACTGATGTATTATTCAATAAACTATAAGAGCACTCCGAGAGATTCTTTATATCCTTCCATGTTGATAGAAATAAAGATTTTGGTGGAAAAAAAGTTTCTAACTGCTTCTTCAGTTAGATAATCCAAATATTGTCATCCTCTATCCCTAGTTTCTCGCTGACAAAAAAATAGAGAGCGGGGATGGATTTCTAAAGTAAAGACAAGATATATACATATAAGCTGTTGGAAGGTGAAAAGTTATAAAAAATGAGTTTTATTCAAATAGCTCTTCAAATGAGGATTTAGAAAGTGAATTTAAGAAAGACTCTTAGTGATGCTATCATCGTTTGGGGAGTCATTTTGAACAAAAATCGCTATATGTATTTCCACCCTCCAACAATTTATCTATACCTTGTGTGCACTTTAGAGTCGGCTCCGCTCTCTCATCTTTGGCCAGCGAAAAACCCAGAATAGATGATGGCTATATTTGGAGATCTAAGGCCTGGTTGATTGATGGCCAAAATGTGGTTGTCAAAACTTGGGCAAACCATGATTTTGGTTTGGTACTAAAACTTGCCACACTTTCAAATTTAGCTTGTCAAATCTGTGGTAAATATTTTTTTCTTGACTTTTGGCAATCTTTGCTTCCCAAATCTTTGGCACCGACAAATTTGGTCATAAACCAAGGAGGCCCCTAATTAAGTCCTTATTCGTTGCATCCTTAAATCAAGGGGATCCACTCCAATCTCCTTGGTTTAGAGATCAAACGGACAGGAGTTTTTCAAAATATGTGTGTTATTTTTTATACACCGGTAGTTGAGGTTACCTGTCTCCATCTCGGCTTTACTAACCGTTTCACCGATGATTCTGTTTAAGAGCAAAGCCTAACTTGCTGGCGGGAACTCGCTTTAATTTAGGCCCACTTTCAGATATGAGATGAGATCGATCAATTCATCATAATCATTCTGTAACGTGGTATTTCCTTGGTAATCTGTCCCTATTGTCATGATAGGATCTTGCTTTAACCCCTTCGCTCTTTTTTCCTTTTTACCTTTTAACTATGGCAACGTATCAGGTACAAACCAACTAACATGGGCAAACATAGAAACTACTGTGGCAGAACCGCCTGATCTAATGCCTCACAGGAGTGCTTGTCTTTCATTAGACACTAAGCACTCAAGGGAGAGCACTAAATTACTCGGTTCCGTCGGACACACCCCAAGGAAGAACCCAAAAATCCACATTTTTGCCATCAGGATCACAAATGAGAGAATAAAGCTTACATCATTCGTAACCATTTCTTACATCACTTTTAATACAACATCAGAATATAATATTTATTAATATGACAGCGGAATGAAATCATATTATCAGAGTTATAAACAATTTACTTGAACAGCGGAATAGAAATATGTGCATAGAGTTACAGCGAAAATAAATATCTAAACATGACATGAGGAAGTATTGACATATAGACTACAACAACATATTATTAAACTTCCATTTATAAAAGCATTTGGTGAGAGTTATAAATAAAAACTACGATCGCAGTGTAAAGTAAATCATCTCTGAGCCCACCAGGAGAAATCCACACACAAGAGTCAGCATTAGCATCCACCTGTCACCTGCAACAGGGGGAATAAAACCCTGAGTACTCAATTGTACTCAGCAAGACTTACCCGATAGGAGAAAAAAAGACTCCAAGGATATGCAAAGCTATTTGGCTTGTGGGTTCATTGCATTTGCAGGAAGCATTACTAAACGTGCGTCCTTATATTCGATTTTTATTAATAGCCGCATTGATTCATTAACTAACCATTCTATGTAAGCACCTGTGCTACTTTCAAGCAGGTGGTAAGCAATCAGATTTCCTTTGACCATCTTCCATCTTTCAGTTCTTACTACAATGCTAAACCGTAGACAAACCGTACCGGATAGCCTGGCGATTCACGAATCAATGCCCCAATTTGGTACCCGAAACACACCCGCTTTGTGCTTGTACCCTAGGCACGGATAGCACAAGGCGATTCATGAATCAATGCCCCCATCATACCCGAAACTCTGCCCGCTTGTACCCTGCACAAAGTCCCAACCTATCACTCTCAAATCCCCGACTCCAAGCCCCCCAAACTGACTCAAGCCCCCGCCCAAGTCGGTAGCGGTGCAAGGACCTCCTCCACAAAAAGAAACCCTGACAGTCGGTCCGGAAAGAGCCAGATCCGCGACAAGAGAGCAACAAGTCTTTCAAGCGCCCATACACAAGTATGTGCTCGGGATAATAAGTCTGTGACCTGCCTAGAGTCATATGCAACGAACGGTCCTTAATCGACCAGACAGGGAAAAACAGTGTAATCAAGCTATGCCTCGTGTCCACGGCGACACAACCTCTTACACTCACCAATACCCAAACCACATCCCTGCCCTGTCACCATTTTTTCTTTTCACCATTTATGTTTTTCTAGTGATAGTAATCCAGTAATATATTTCCTATATCTCGCGAATGACAGACAATCACTCGACTTCTATCGGAGTCCTGTAGCATAGCAATCTACACGATCCTGTCATATTAGTAAGATTCATAGGATAAAGATATATATGCAAGTGGGTTTCATTCAACTCCTTAAAACTTAATGCACAATTATAATTTAAACTGCAGAAAGTAGGAGTTATGCACCGGGGCTTGCCTGGGAAAAATATAATCAGAAGTTAGCTTTCCATCATGGCGACATGATCTCCAAAAGCACCATTCCTCCAGCAACTCCCGACAAGTTCGTGATCCACCGACGTCCCTATTATGATATGCAATGTAATACCGTGCAAAGATATAATTAATTAACTGCAATCGTGACTCGTATAAATACGCTTTACGTCCCTCAAGTTAACGGGCTAATTCTAACGACGACCGTAGGATAAGGCGTTATTTCCCAACAATTATTGTAGTTATATAAACCAACGGCATTTCTACATTTCATTGTATCGATTTAATCGTTATTCAAAATAGAGCATCATTATCTACCTAGCAAACTAACTCTTATCGAGCTACAAATTTTACAGTGAGTATGTAATAATATTAGTAGTTTACTGTCAAATTTTTAGAGTCAACACTATTACCGATTTATCCGAAAAATTCCTACAAGTTCATCTTTTAACAATATTCAGCCTTTTAAAATAATTATATAGCTCCCAAAAATATTACCAAACTTTATGAACAAAATATACTAACATGTAGAGCATGATTTTAGGGGACTAACAAAACTGGTTTCGCTATTCATGGATTCCTATGCCATTTTATATTGATGTTACAATTTTATTCCCGAGACTCAATTAGCAATCGCTTTATAAAACTAAAGGGCCAGCGGCCACACATCTGGCCCAACGACCAGCGAGTCGACCTGGCCCGAAGGCGGAGGGGTGCGATCAGCAGCCCAGGCAGGACCAGCGGACGGGCGCGCGGTGGCCCAGCAAGGCGCGCGGCACCCGGCGTGTGGCCCAATCGGTCAGGGCAGCCCAGGCGCGGACAGCCCAGCACGCAGGCGACCAGCCAGCCCAACGGGGCAGGTGGTGGCCCAACGCGGCAGGCGGCCCAGCAAGGCGTGCAATGGCCCAGGCGCGGGGCGGTAGGCTGGCCCAGCCGGTCAAGCCCACAGGCGCGGCAGATACGCGAAATGGCCCCTACGCTTTTCACTAATCAGTCCTAGGTCCAGAGTACTGTTCAATATGCCAGGTATTATTGCAGTAAAAACCCCGTATAACGTTTTTGCTTGGATTAATACCCCTTCCTCACCTTCCTTCCAAAATCCAGAAGCGAAACGCAGGGAGTAGAGGAGCGCCGGGACGGACGCGGCCGGCCCAAAATCCGACCACCGGCACAGCGTGGCTCCCGGCGGGCGCTGCGGAGAGGGCGAGCCAGAAGTGGAGCAAGGAGCCGCGCGGGCACGACGCACGGAAGGGCGGCTGGCAGGGCGGCTGTGCCGCAGCGGGGCGCTCCACCGACTCAGATGATGGCGGGACGCCGGCGCGCGGGGAGGAAGATGAAACGAGGCAGAGCCGCACGCTGGCAGGAGGACTCCACGGCTCCGGGCGGGCCGGCGCAGCCATGGCTGGGCGCTGCGAAAGGGCAGCGCCATGGCTAGCACGCGCGCAGTGCACCAGGAGTGGCACGGGGACGGCGCGAACCAGCGCAGAGCTGAGCGCAGCGGCTGCGTGGGCTCGGTGGTGGCGTGGTCCGGTCGGGAGCCCAGCGCTGACGAGGAGTGGGGAAGTGAGGGCAGGGGGAGAAACGGTGCTGCAGAGCAGTAGGCTCAGCGCGGGGAGTGCCGACGGGGAGCTAGGACTACTGCGAGCAGCAAAGAGAAAAGGAAGGAGGCAGCGGTAAGCGAGGAAAGAAGAGCGGAGCTGAGGCGTTGGTGATTCCTGCGGGCAGTGGCCCAAGAGACACAGACAAGACCGAGAGGCAGGCGGAGGCAGCGAAAAGACAGGGCGAACCCACGCGCGCAGGAGAAATGGAAAAGGCAGCGCAGTGGAGTGGATTTGGAAATATCCACAGCACAGCACGCTAGCACAGGACATAGGACAGGACGGGTGCCCCCAGCCTGTGCCCTGCAGTGACCCGATACATAGGACAGGAGTAGTGTAGAGCGTTGGCAAGCAGGATTAGCTGAGCTTAGCTCAGCTGGGGCGTGCTGGTGATGGGGAAAAAGAACGACGGCAACTGTCTCGGCGACGAAAAGGACGGAAACACGGAGAGACTGACATGATTGAAAGAAAGACAAGGCAGGGAGGAACAGTGGGATGAAACAGCAGCAGCTTCGGCACCTACTTCATAAATACGGTGCAGGAGGATGTCATGGCCCAATTTTTCATTAAAACAAGAACAGCGTGACGAAATTGATACGAGTTGACTCGAGACGAAATTGATACGAGTTGACTCGAAAATAGGACAACGTGCTTTTAACTCAGGCACTCTTATATATAAATGGTCGCAACAGCACTTTACATTGGAGCACGTTCATCCGTTGTAACTTTTATGCGGTTTACTAATTTACGCAAGCTTTGCTTATTGTTCCCTGTATATGTTGTGAATCGAAAATTCGAGAAACTCGTTCGAAAATTTTACTTAGACCTAAATCGCGGTATAAAAAAAGGATCGTAACAACGGGGTGTTACAACTACCAATCAGAACTACTAGATGTTGATTCAATGGATGGGGTGAGAGGTGAGATTTTTTTTTTTGCTTAAGCCCTCCACCCGCTGACCCTTTTTTTTGCGCTTAAACCCCCTCACTCCATCCATTGGATCAGCATCTGATGGTCCTGATTGGTACTTTTTAAGTTTACACTGGTTGGTTGATTTACACCTGATATGTTACCCGCTATCTATGTGTGATAAGTAAGTGGATATAAATAGATTGCGGGCCTTTTTCTACCGTCACTCTCAGGTAGGAGTAACTACATGCGTAAAGCTGAAGCTTGGAATTAAGGCAAGACTAATAGCTACATGGAAATCATCCTACATGGCAACATGCATGTGAAAGCACCCTTGGAGTGGATCTGGAGTTTCAGCTATTGTCAATAGTTCGTTGTCTATGAAAACCGTATGTATACTGTATACACGAGCTATTCTTCCACAAAAAAATGTATATACTTTCAGTATAAAAAATTATATCTCTATATCTTTTATTACACGATTAATCTAATGATATTTATTCAGTATCATAAATATATATTAGAAGTTCTTTTATACTTTCCTTCTCAAAATAAATGCACTCTTAGCATTTGTTGAGGAGGTCAATGTTACTGCGATTTACATATATCCCTGTCAAAAGTTGGTTGAACATGCAAGACTTTTGCACTCTAGGAATAGAGAAAGTAGTAAAGCCTAGTAGAGTTAGGTGGTCCTACGGAAGTGCACTTATTTTATTTTAGGACTGATTTTAAATAAATAGAAATGAATTTATTACGTGATGGATGAAGTATATATTTGGTTAAATTTCAATTTGGTTGCTCGATAAGTAAAATGAACGTATTCCTCGATAAGTAAAATGAGTGCACTTTTTTGCGATAGGGAGTAAATATTTAGGCCTAGTTTACAATAGTCCCGCTTTATTAGCAGAGTAGTTTTTTTTTTGTTTCAGCTCCACAAGCAACTCTATCGGTAGTTGAAGTGAAGCTATATTGATAAAGCATTTAGCAAAATAACTCCTCATGATAGAAAAAAAAAACGATCGTTAATGTCCTTCTTGTTTTTTTCCTTCTTTTTCTTCCTCCTCTCCTATCTCTTCCTTATATCTCGCTCAGCCTTCACGCGTCCACCCTCTTTCTTATCTCGGCATTTCACACGTCCGTGTGCCCCGGAGGCAGCTGAGCTTGGCCATGCCGTCGTCCCTCCCCATGCATGCCTAGAAGCCTTGGCGAAACTACATAGTGAGTTGTGGGTGCAGATGCACCCATACAAAAATAAAAAACCAATGACAAGATCAAATTCTCACCATAGTTTTGGCTCAATCACATACACTCACAAGGCAACTTCACCCCCCTCAAATATGTTGTAGCTTCGCCACACCGCCTAGAGCAAATTAGACCTATGAGCGTGCTAGGTTCACTGGTGTGAGTGGGAGCTAGGAGAAACTTCTATTTCAGTTCCATCTCCTATTCATCTCTTGTTGGAGCATTTTTTGAGGATCTTCTTATGTGAAACTGTTTAGTTTTGTTCCGTTTGACATAACACAGTTCTTGAAGTTGCTTAACAAGACCTTACTATATACATGTTATCGCAAAAAAAAAATACTATATATACGTGTTATGGATGATAGTTTGCCTGCTTGAGGAACCTACCGGTTAGGTTAGGTGTCGAGCGCTACTTTACATGCTGCACTTACGGCTGCACTCGCACACAATTAGTGGCCGTTTTTGCTGCGAGATTAAAAAAGAAATTAGTGGCCGTTTTTCTGTTGAAGCAGACGACCGAGTGGAGCCTGCCGCCGGAACGGACGTCGGGGCCGGAGATGGGGCGGAGCTGAACGACCGGCAATTCGGCGTGCGGTTTATGGTCCGGTCGCCGGCGCCGAGAGAGACGACAAAACCAACTGCTGGTTGGTTCGTCCACTAGCTTCCAGCCGTTGTTGATGGTGGTCGGAATCGGATGGGATGGGATGGGATGGGATTTAGTGGCGGAGCAGGCGAGATGGAGGTGTCAGCGAAAAGTCAAAGCAAGGGATGGCACTGTCGCACTGACCACTGGGGGACCCGTTGGGCCTATGCTGGTGCCGAACGCCTGTTACGGGCCTAAGAATTGCTAGAATACGTAATTGGGCCACCAAAGAATTGCTAGCACAATCCTGAACTGGGCCGATGTGCCACAGTTGTCCTGTTCGTTGGCAATTGAGATTGTCTTATTATTATTGTTACTGTTATTACTAATTTAATTTGTTGTTCCTAAAAAAATAATTTAATTTGATACCGCACTACTCCATGCTAATTCACATGAGAAAAAATTAGAATATTTTATTAAAATGTTTAGTCAGAAATATATAGCCGTCAATTTGGTAAGCTCATATCCTCATTGCTAACGTTTGATCTATTATGTTTTCTATAAAAGGAAATACGAAAAAACCATTAAGTAACGGTGTATACTCATTTATTCTGACACATTATGAAACATAATTTAAAGTAATCATCTAAATTTGCTTTGGGAATACCCATCCTTCTATTAATGATCGATAATCTAAACAACCACTTAAATTTACATCTAAGTTATCTACATATGTTATTATTAAAGTAAATATCCCCCAAAATCTTGATCTTATTTGTTTTGAACGCTTTTGGTTTTAATATATTTCCAGTAGGGGGCAACTCCTCCTGTTACCATAAAAAAATATCCCCAAAATCTACGTCTAAATTACCAACATGTTTTAATATGAAAAGTATAAATAACCATAACTTATATCGCTAATATGTTTCTAAATCACTAATTTCTACCACTATTAATATAAATAATAACTTAGAGTACATATAAGTTGTGAAATTATTCATATCGACCTTAAAAAAATTCATATCAAGTGTAAGTGTGTATGCATGAGCCACAAATAAGTTTGATTCACTGGTACAGAGACGGGCTTTACTCCCGGTGGGGAACCCCCTCTAGTCCAGGTTCCCCACCCGGGAGCAAGCATCCGGGACTAAAGGGGGTCCTTTAGTCCCGGGTCAGGAACCGAGACTAAACGGGGTCCTTTAGTCCCGGTGGGTAACACCAACCGGGACTAAAGGTGCCTCCCCAAAACATGCCACAAAGTTGGCAAGATCTTTAGTCCCGGTTGGTAACCCCAACCGGGACTAAAGGTTTTTTTTTTTTTTGTTTCTATTTCTATTTTCCTTTTTTTTTTTCTATTTTCACGCTTGCTACCATGTTTTTTTTTCTTTCTATTTCTATTTTTCTTTTTTCCTATTTTTAATTGATGATTCGTTTTGGTTTTTGAATACGCATTCTCTGTTTGCTAGAATATACGTCGCTTATAATGTTCAACATTTTATATAAACTATAGTACAAAGGATCTTTAGTCAAGGATCGGTGGTACAATTACTGTTCAAGTTCGTGTTGCTTGGTTCGAGAGCTGAGCTTTTAAGTTAGCTTTCACTCTTACGAGCAAGCGAGGTGGTGCTAATAGGAGACCGAGATTCCAATTCCAGATATTGCGTCTTCGGGCGCCCATCGAGGCTTCAGAACGCCAGACTAAAGATTTTAGTCCCGTGATAATACCAACCCGACTAACTAAAGGTACTAAAATATATTTTAGTCCCGCTCGTAATACCACCGACTAAAGGTCTTCGTTCGATGTCGACAATAAATGCAAGCGGTAAAATGCAAGCCGGGCTAAAGCTCGTAAATGCAAGCGGTAAATGCAAGCCGGGACTAAATCTCGTAAATGCAAGCGGTACAAGTAAAGCACCGGGACTAAAAGTTCATCTTTGGTCATCACTCGTAAATACAAGCGGTACAAGTAAAGCACCGGACTAAAAGTTCGAGTCTTGGTCATCACTCATAAATGCAAGCGGTACAAGTAAAGCACCGGGACTAAAAGTTCGGTCTTTGGTCATCAGCTCATAAAGCACGGCAATAAATGCACTAAAACTTAGAGGACTTTTAGTCCCGGTTGGTAGCTCCAACCGAGTAAAGGTCCACCTTTATCCCGGTTGGTGTCTCCAACCGGGACTAAAGGTCCCCCATATCTGTCGCCGAAGATAGCCGTTGAGGCGAGGACCTTTAGTCCCGGTTGGAGACACCAACCGACTAAAGGTTTCTCTAGTCCCGGACGCAAAAAATATCGGGACTAAAGCCAAATTTCAAAGTGGATCAAAAGTCGTTTCTGTGCTAGTGATTTGTTCTGGGCATTAAACACGAAGGAAACTCTAAGACTGATCGCAGGCACTGAGGCAGCCGCAATGAAGGACCAGGTAGGATGAATGCATCAGAATTTTCTCTCCTTTTATTCATCATATATATAGATACCTAGAGTACGTGCACACGGCCGGTTACACTTTTATTTGCTCCGCTCCACATGGAGCAGCTTATTCATGCAGAGAATTATTAGGCTATAACTTCTTCCTCCGATCCGCCACTCTTAGTTGAAGCGGATCGGGTACACGGGCTGCTTGTTGCCGTAGAAGAGCCCGAAGTTCTTCTCCGTGGGGTCGCCGTCCTTCTGGTTCTCGTTGAACATGGCGAAGATGAAGGTCTCCAGCGTTCCGGGCCTCTTGGGCGTGCCGCGCCCGACGTGGTCGATGAGCCCCTGGTTGTAGTTCCGCGCGTTGTCCACGCTTGCCCCGAACCCGCCGGCCGACGGCCAGCCGCTCTCGGAGACGACGATCCTGACCCCGCCGGCGCCGGCCTTCTCCAGCGCGGCGACGATGGCGTCCACCATGGCGTCGAACAGGTTGGTGTAAGTGAGCCCGTTGCCGTTGTCCCTGACGGTGGTGCCCGGCTGGAACGTGGCGTAGCCCAGGCTGATGTCGCGCGGGTTGTCCCGGTACGCGAAGTACGGGTACACGTTGGCCAGCAGCGGCGCGCCGGTGCCGGCGAGGTACCGCGCCACGTCCGCCATGTAACCTTGCGCGAACGAGCCGGCTGAGGGCGGGTAGGAGTTGGCGATCACGTCGAAGCGCACCGACGTGGAGCACTTGATCCCCGACAGCCCCGCGCGCGACAGGGCGCCGTCCAGGTTCCGCATCGCCGGGAGGATGCTCTGCGTGGCGCTGCCCTGCACCTCGTTGCCCACGGCGATGTACTTGATGTTCACCGCGGGGTAGTAGGGTTTCACGTTGCTCTGCACCCACGACGCCGCGTACGAGGCGCTGCCCGCGAGCCGGCTAAACTCGTCGTTGCCGGTGTCGAGCATGAGGACGATGCCCGAGTTGCGCAGGGCGTTGAGCGCGTTGGCGTTGGGGGAGTAGATGCGCATGCCGTTGATGCCCTTGGACCTGTAGAGCTGCACCACGTCGCTGCTGGACGGCAGGTTGTTGCCCAGCATGCCGTAGCAGACGCCGATGGAGTGCACGCCTGCACGCAATCATCGTGTCACATCAGTTACCTACTAGGTTTAGGCACACCAAAGGTATATACGTTATATATTGACACCGTTATTTTGCTACCATAAACTCAAGTCACACTATAGGTATATATGTTATCCATTTCTGTTATATTTTAGGTGTCTGATTTTTTTTATTATTGTTCAAGTAACTTGTAATAAGAAATAAATTTTATATTATGGTCCTTTTAATTGTTATAAAATTGTTGTCTGAAAATTCAAACATCTTTTTGTTCTTCTAGAATATGCAAAAGACTTGCATCTTTATAATTAAGGTAGTATGTTTGATCTAAACAATACGCTTAGCACCATAAGAAGTCTACATAATTACAGCTGTGGGCTAGACCATCCTATCATACATATACATATCTTAATATTACACAACAGACACCGTGAATACAGTAACTCTCCTGCAAATTCTGAGAGACAAGTGAGTTTGAGTGCTTATTAGTTTATCTCACGAGGTACGGAAGGAATGAGGTGCTACTAAATGTTAGCTAGGTAGTGCTGAGAAGTGAGAATATGTACGTGTCAAAACAAAATTAGGCAGATACATATATTCGTGATTATGCAGAGAGTAGATGGATGGTGAGACCTAAAATTCCTCGATATATATGTGACCCTTTTTTAAAAAAAAAATCGCTATAGCTGGTAGGTAAATACTCGTAAATATTGCCAATACGTGCATGCAAAGCAAAAACAAGAAAACAACATAGAGCGGACGAGGCGTAATAACGAGGAGAGAGAAAGAATAGTCAATACTTGTAGGAATGGACGCAAACGTTGCAACGAGCAGAGCAGCTGCAAGCATGGAAGAAGCAACTTGCTGTTGCTTCACCATGGCTGTCGATCGATCTCTCAGCGCGCTGGCTAGCTACTGCTACGAGTTAGTTTGCTCCTGGGTACAACAATCCTATGAACCAATGCAAAGAAGGCCATGCACCCAGGCCCCCTTTATATGCGATCGCCGATCAGCCCCCAGAGTTGCCAGTCTGGTACGTTTCCCGAGTCCATAGGTGCATTCATGCATGTGGTGCAGCTAGCTGTGCCGCACTAAGGCGGCCGTCCGTGCGTAACCCGCCGGATCAGTGCAAATTGCATGGGGTTCGTGTCGTGTCACCCTCCGGCCTCCGGCGCCGGGGCGCAGCAGCTTGACACACACGTCGATCGTACGTCGTCGTCGTCCTACGTACTACGTCCGTTTTCCACAGAAATAATAATGGCGGTCCACGGTCGATCTCGACGTCTGATCTCGTTTCGTCTCTCCCGATATGCAATATCAGTCCACGGGACGTGGAAGAAACCGTAGTAGAGCAGGATCTCCTTTTCCGGCGTGTACCTGATCACTAATATAATGAGCGGTGGTGGTGCACAGTCGTCCGCCCAGCACAAACAAGCTCTATACAAACTTTCTATCCCTGCATGGGAATTCTTCCTTCTCACGTCGGCTTGGTCATGAATGCATGGAAATTGCAGCAGCATATTATGTGTGAAACACACGAGATGGTCCGGTTTTGCCGGCCGGATAGACCGACGAACATTCGTTCAGGAGGAGGGGAGAAACCTTAGGCCTTGCTTGGAGTGTTTTTGAAGTATCGGAGAAATATAAGGTTTTGCTTCTACTTTGGTTTTATTTCGAAAGCTATTGGGTGTTTGGATATAACAAATTTTATAGTTTTTGCAACCATGGTTTTGTCAAAATTGTAGGTTTTTGTGGAGTTCTAGAAACTCCACTCTCATTCTCATGACATCTTTTTTCTAAACCACAATTTTGTGTCTCTTTGACTTATAAAACTATAGTTTCATGACTCTATAGTTTTCGAAAACTACATCATCCAACAAATAAACATGCCCTTATCGGTATTCATAGCGATATTAATACATGCGACCGGATATCTCAATCACACCGTTCACCTAAAAGGTCGATCATTTAGCTCGTTTACACATCGTTTAAACGCTATATGTAGTGCGTCGTTTTTGTTTAAATGGTCGTTTAGCTTGAATAGTGGCTACACAGCAAGTGACCGACCGCTTACCGTTTATTGTTTATAATAGCACTGCTCAATTGTGTATTCTTTTGGTCTTTTCCTAAAGTCCGCTAGTTTTCATATGGGTAGGGAACTTCAAACCGCCGGAACTCTCTCATATGAATTTCTATCGTTGCATGGTAAAGCCTACTCCCTCCATTCTATAATGATAAATAAATTTATGAAAAATTCTAGATAGATTAGGGATGCTAGCAAAAGACTGCATATATTCTCGTCTCCTTTTGATAGTTATTGTTTGCATGCAAGTGATTAGCTTCTCTGTCAAGAGGCCGCATGCTTGTATAGCTAATAGAGTAATAGTTTAGCTAATTATTTTTCAGCAGTATTTTTCAGCGAATGAACAATGTTTTTCTCTCACAACAAATCAGCATAAGCAGCAGTATAAGCCAAATTTCAGCAAAACAAACAAGGACTTAGGGCATGATGTATAGCTAATCGAGTAATAGTTTAGCTAATTGTTAGCCCAATACTCAACTAACAATTATTTCACTAGTTGCACCAAACTAGCTAATATCAGCTAGCTAATATGAGCTATGAACTATTAGCTAGCTAACAATTAGCAGCTAATGATCCGACAAGTGGCAATGATTTAAAATGAAAGAAGAGATAATAGAGGAGAGGAAAACAATATAGGAGAAATAACATAGGCCTAATAGAAGGGGAAGGTTACTATATGTGTGGCATGTTCTCATAGAACGTACTATTTTCTAGAATAACTTTTGAACCACGTAAACTTAGGCCATGTTTGGATCTCATGGCAAAATTTTAGCCCTGCACTTTTAGCCTGCACTTTTAGCCTCTTTTTTTTGCCATGGGGATCCAAACAAGGGGCTAAAAGTGAGCAAATGACTAAAAACTGGGATAAAATCTTTTGCTCTCAAAGGGGCCCTAAACTGGGCTAAACTCCCTCGGTGCGGGTGTTGAACGCCCCATACCCCTTGACGCTCGCATGCATATCCGTGCATAGATAATTAAATTAGGATAAATCAGTCATTATAGATTAGAGGACTAAAGTTTAGTTTATGGATCAAACAACCTAGCAGAACTAAAGTTTAGGGGCTAAACTTTAGTCTTTGGACTAGTGATCCAAACACCAACTTATTTAGGCCCCGTTTGACAGAGCTTCACTTCACTAGTGAAGCCATTTTTTTTTTTGCTTCAGCTTCACGAACAGCTCCACCAGTGGAGCTGAAGCGGTTTTGGTAAACCATTTGGCAAAATGGCTTCTCTGTGAGAGCATGTTTTTAGGGCCTGGAGGAGGAGGGCGGAGAAGCCACTTTTTTGCTCCATCCCACCCCAAATCACTTATTTTTTATGGGATTTCACTTTACCCCTGTTTGGCAAAAAACGAAGGAATGGAAAAGCCTCCGCGACGGGGGCCTTATTATGGGACGGAAGGAATAGACCGGAGTACCGGATGACATGATTTTGGGTAACTGGATAGGGTCTGTTTCTCAGTGTCCGGCCGGATCGTATACTGTCTATACCAAATAAAATTTGATCGTTATAACACGATCGATAAAACGACCTACGGTATGTACGACGGATCTCAGGTTGCACGGATCGCATGGCGTCTATATATCACTCTCTCCGTCTTCATTCGGCGCAGCAGCCGGCGGAACACGTCGTCGATCTCCTCCCATTTTCCAATTTCCACCGGAGATTGATTGATGGCGCGTTATTCTCCGATCACGACGCGCGCGACGCACTGCGGATTGTGGAAGCCCGCCGGCCGCCCGGCCTCGTTTTTCCTCGTGTACTTGGCTGTTTCTTCCTTTGGGCAGTGCGGCATGCGCGCGCCGCGCGTGCCCCGCCCGCGCCGTTTGCCCCTGTGCTGTGCCCTGCCCACCAAATTCTACCCTGCGGCATGGAATTTCCTCGCTCTCCCTGCGGTACAACAGCGGCAGTCTTCAAGACACGATCGACCTAGCCATCCATCTTGTGCTTTTCTTTTCCAACTCTCTCTCTCTCTCTCTCTCTCTCTCTCTCTCAGTATGACCCACGTCTACGGGCAGAGAGATGTATGCAGCTTGTGTTGACGAATGACGCATACATACGTGGAATTCCTGGTCTGGGGTGCTGACGGATTGGACCACTGGTTTGTATGTGTGTGTGTGTCTCTCTCTCTCAGTATGACCCTTGCGTACGTCTACGGGCAGACAGATGTATGCAGCTTGTGTTGACGAATGACGCATATTGCATCATCGTACCGTACGGAACGGATGAGAGTTATCCCCATCGGAGGCGACAGAGCTGTCCTTGCGACCGTCAGAGACCGTCACCACACGCACCTCGTTCAAACTTCAAACTCTCCACTCCACTCAGACTCCATCAAAGGAGTTTGGTGTTTGCATGCGGCGGGCCATTTTTTATTTCATGGGCCGAATTTAGGCACAACCTACAGTACGTACGTGGGCCTGCTGGAGCTTCTTTCAAATACATGGCCCATTAAAGAAGATTGGGCTGCTATTAGTCCCATGGATCGACTCGACAGAAACTACAAATATTCTTCAGCCCAATGGACATCGCGATCATCACAAACATACCATCCATTATGCACGACAAAAATGAAACAAGAATGCACGATGATTTTTTGACATGACATGTGTTACCTGAATATATGTACATGGACACATGTTGTGAACCCACGTTTCCATATGGACCGTCACCGCTGAATTTTCCCCCAAGTAGAGGGGTTCATTTTTAGTTCGTCCTCGGTATCTCGGTTGTTGGTCCTGAACCGAGAACGAAAAATAGCTTGGCTTAAAGCTACAGTGGGTCGTTCAGACACGAGGTCCAAAGAGGAGTGGAATGGGACACATGTATAGAAATGGACATGTGGCACGACAAAGTATAGTAGTATAAATGAGAATCCTCACGTTCTTGCAACTTTACAATGCTCGTTCTTGAAATATAAATGTACGCATTGTCCTCGAAAAAATTAGTTAGCATCGTACTATAGCATAACAACTTTATTTTGAATTTGAAACAAATTAATTAAAGCAGAATTCTTGTTTTCAGTGTCGGAACACGATGGGATAAACCGGAGCCTTGCTAGGATAGAAGAGCCCAAAGTTCCTCTCCGTCAGCTCCCCGGGCTTCTGGTCCTCGTTGAACATGGCGAACACACGTACGTCTCCAACGGCCCAGGCCTCTTGGGCGTGCCCTGCCCGGCATGATCGATCAGGTTCTGGACGTACGTCTGCGCGTTCTGCACGGTGGCCGCGTCCCCGCTGGCGGACGGCCAGCCGCTCTCGGACACGACGAGTCGACGACCCTGACGGTGGGCGCCCCGGCCTTCTCGAGCGCGGCGTGCACGGAGTCCAACATGGCGTCGAACAAGTTCGTGTACACCAGCCCGCTGCCGCCGTCCCTCACCGTGGTGCCCGGCTGGAAGAGCGCGTAGTTGAGGCTGACATCTCCCGGGTTGCTGCCCCGGTAGGCGAAGTACGGGTACACGTTGGCGAGCAGGAACCGCGCGATGTCCGCCATGTAGGGCTGCGCGAACACGCCGCTGGAGGGCGGGAAGGTGTTGGTGACCACGTCGAGCCTCACGCACGTGGACACCTTGATGTCGCCGTCGAGCCCCGCCGCGGCCAGCGCGGCCTGCAGGTTCCGCATGGCCGGGAGGATGCTCTGGGCGGCGGCGGCGGCGGAGTCGACCTCGTTGCCCACGGCGATGTACAGGACGTTCACGTCGGGGTGGTAGGGCCGGACGTTGGTCTGGACCCACGACGCCGCGCACGGCGCGCACGAGGCCAGGTTGGCGATGTCCTCGTTGGCGACGCCCAGG